TGGGGTCTCCTCCTCGCCAGGCCTCGCAGCCCCCCTGGCCTCTCTCCCCAGCTTGCGCATGAAGATGCACTTGCACAGGGCTCTGGTGGTCCTGGCCCTGCTGAACTTTGCCACGGTCAGCCTCTCTCTGTCCACTTGCACCACCTTGGACTTTGGCCACATCAAGAAGAAGAGGGTGGAAGCCATTAGGGGACAGATCTTGAGCAAGCTCAGGCTCACCAGTCCCCCCGAGCCATCGGTGATGACCCACGTCCCCTACCAGGTCCTGGCCCTTTACAACAGCACCCGGGAGCTGCTGGAGGAGATGCAGGGGGAGAGGGAGGACAGCTGCACTCAGGAAAACACCGAGTCGGAGTACTATGCCAAAGAAATCCATAAATTCGACATGATCCAGGGGCTGGCGGAGCACAGTAAGTCCACATTCTCGCTGGGGTGTCTGCTCTAGAGGGTCTGAGCAGGAGTGGGGAGTTCCTGGGGGGGGGGCCTAGCGGGGACCTCACAGCAGGGTGCCCCGGGATCACCCACACCAAGGCTCAGGAGGCGTGATGCACAGTTGGGGCCGGGTGGGTGGCTGGGGAGGGAGACCGGGCCATTGTGGGAAGAGCCGGGGGCTTCTGGGAGGCCAGGCGCCCTGGAGTTGAGTGGCTTGCTGAACTCACATCACATCCTCGACTGATTTTACTTTGGAATTACACCGTGCCGTCCTGTTCACATCTGTGCTCTGGCCCATGTGATGGGATAGGCGACTGCGAGCATACGGATGCCATAGAGGGACAGGGCCGGGTCTCTTGAAAGCCGTTATAGCTCCCTGAGTCTGGAGACCTCGGTCTTCTCCCTTGTTTTCGCCACTCATTGTGACGCGTCTTTGGTTTAGTTTTTCCAGTCCTTGGGAAGAAGGGTACACTTGCCCTAGATTAATGTCTGTCAAGCTTTTTGAAGCCCAGGCAAGATCCAGCTTCTTGCTGTCTAGGCCCTTCGGTCTATGCCACACACATGACCCACGTGAGCTGTGAGCATGGTTGAAAGGCACGCACCTACGTCCACACGTACAAGTGCTTCAGGGTGATGTGTAGTCTGGCTTTGTACAGTAGACAGATTCATGTGCTCAAAATGGGCGTCTTCCAGGCCTGTGGACACGGGGAGAGCAGGGTTGTGGCTCTGGACGTGTACATGATTGCTGGCCGCCCTTTTGTGTCTGCGTGTCACGGGAAGAGTGGGTGGGAGGTGTGGCCGTGGGTGCAGAGGGGACATATGTCTGGGAGTGTGTCCTCCCAGGAGGCTCCCGTCTGTGCTGAGAGGCTGGGAGGCTTCTGGGTGAGACGTCTGCGTGTGTGTGTTTGTACACGTGTGGAAGTCATGTGTGTTTACTGAACGGACCTTTAAAAAACCTCAATACAAGAGAGAGAGATTTGGCAGATGTTGAGAAACTGACAGCCCGAGGAGGAGGAATGTGAGCCGCGCTGGGCCAGGGACCCTGGGAGCAGCTCTGTTTGCTTTTCCTACCAGCAGGTGTCCTCACCGCCCGGACTACCTCTTCCAGGCCCACCTGGCAGTGGGGAGTGGGAGTGGGAGGGAGCAGGCAGGGTGAGGGGGGTCAGTGGGGGAACTTGGGAAGTTGAAAGGAACCTGGCTGCAGAGGAGGAAGAGGAGTAGGTGGCTGGTGGGTGGAGCAGCTCCAGCTGAAGGTGCAAAAGGCCCTACTGGGAGCCGGCCCATGCCAGGTCCAGGAGCCTGTGGTTACTGGCGAGGGGTTCCCACTCCCGTTTCCTGTGGCCGCCTGGAGCGCCTTGCCTTAGGATGTGGCTACCGTGCGGGGCGGAAGCCGGAGTAAGAGGCAGGGCTAGTGCATCCTGCCCAGGGTCCTCCCGTGGGTCTGGCTCAGCCTCTGCCAGGGGCCCACGGTTCCCAGAGGCGCCAGCTCCTGGATGGCTGAACCCCCAACCCCCCGGGCAACCACCAAGTCCGGAGATAGTGGCCACGAGGGTGGAAAACTGAGGCCTGCAGGAGAGGTCTGAAGGGAGCCCAGGGTGAGAGAGAAGGGCTCGGACCTTACGATCCGGGTCAGGAGGTGGAGTCCCAGGGAGGAGGGATTCTGAGTCACAAGGGCGCATCCAGCCTGGAATCCAGAGCCGAGAATGAATGGGCCAGATGCATGCGAGGGCATATGGGTGCCAGTGGATGTGGATTTTGTACAGAGACTCAGGACACAGGTAGCGAGCAGTCTTGGGGAGAGCGAGGGCAAGGGCCCACGGACGCTGGGCAGCTCGGCCTGCAGCAGCAGAACCCTAGCAGGTAGGGGCGACCCTCGGGCCACAGAGCCTGGTCAGGCTGGGAGCAAGCCCGGCACAGGGAGCAAGATACTATTTGGGATATTGTGGAGGGGCCAGGGCACAGTGGGACACGGGCAATGCCGTGGAGGCTTGCAGGTGCAAACAGGAAGCAGGCCCAGACTCTCTGCAGCTGTTGGAGGTGACACAGAGGCTGAGCAGACGCGGCTTGGGCCCGCCCTGCAGCTGGTCAGGTGCCGAGCCAGCCCCAGAGAGGCAGACGCAGAAGGCACACTAATTATAAAGGAGGCAGCGGCGCAGATGCTGAGAAGAAGCAGAAGGCCATCCTCAGAGGCTTGGGGTGAGGGAAGCCCGTCCTGAGCTCACGAGGGCTGTGTCCTAGAGTGGCACTGGGTCCGTGGCGGGACCCTAGCAGGGTCTGGGTGCCAGAGCTTCTGGGGGGAAGTGATGAGATCGCATTCGCTTCCGCGTTTCATCATTCCCAGCCTGCTCCTGTACCCGGTGGAGGGGCACTTAGAGGGAAGTGACAGCAGGAGCTGGCCTAAGGACATAGGGGAGCCTGGAGAGCAAAGCATGGCAAGGAATCGTTTCCGGTGTGCAGGAGAAAGGGAACCACGGTGAGCACAGAGGAGAGGGCCCATCTTCTGGCTCTGCCCTGTCAGAGAGGAACCCCGATTCTCTGCCTTACAGATGAGGACACAGAAACGTGCATCAGTTAAGTAATGTGCCTCAAAGAGCAGGGGCTCTAACCTAGACGTTGTTCTGCCTGCAGAATGCATGCTGTTAGGCACTAACCCAAGTGTGTAAAATAAACGTTTTAAGCCCCACCTTTAACCTCAAGGCTCCAATAGCACTTTGATTTACAACATGAGCAAATCACCTATCGGACCAAGCAGGAGCGGGTAGGAGCTCTTTGTAACCCTGGTGGCAGACCGCACAGGGACCACTGGGTGTGTTGTTTCTTAGCTCCGCCTGTCGTTATGGCCAGGAGATTGATATCGTCACAGACGTTCTCCCAGATTCAGCGGAAGGGCGTTCTTTATCTAACGAAGAGCCTCAAGCTGGTTGAGCAACCACACCAGATGGCATTAGTCAGGTCACCTCTCTGAGCCTCAGTTTTCTCATCTGTAAAGTCAGAGATCATCTCTAAGCTCTCTCGCAGCTGAAGCAATTTTATGCATACATCTGGGATGATTCAACAGCCTCAGCAGTGAAGGCAAGACTCTGGAAATCCTTTTATAATTCACCAGGAGTTGGCTCTGTGGAGGCTGTGTCTGCCCCACGTGGTGGGGAAAGACACAGGCTTTTCCATTCCTTTGTCATCCTTGTTATCAAGATATCACCAGCATAGGTGTTGTTTTAACTTCTGGCTCGTAATTATCTGTGTCTGGCGGGAGACCCTTGTTTTCATCCAGCAGTGGCTCTAAGACAGCCGGCAAACCCGGAGTTCCTGAGCAAAGAGAAAACTTGATATTTTAGCCTTTCTTTCCTGGATGCTACTTTTGGATTTGGATTTTTTCATTCTGAAAATTAAAAGATATTTTGTATCACAAGAACTCATTTGTGTTAAGGGCCAGTGCCCTCTGCACGCTGGGTCAGTGTTTCTCCTAGAAGGGCTAGGTAAATGTAAAAACTGTGGATTCCCAGGCCCAAGCCCACCCTTACAGAATCAGAATCTGGGCGTGGGGTCCTGGGGAATCTGTATTTCCGAAAAGCACCCCATTGATCCTTAAGCTCACTGAGGCTTAAGACTCAGTGAACTGCAGGGCAAAACCTCTCCTTAAGGAGCTGAAAACACAAGTGCCCAGCTAATACGAAGGATCTGGAAGAAAAGCCAACACCATAACGGAGCACACAGGACACTTGGCCTCGGGGTCGAGGAGAGAATAGGGTTTGCAAGAGGCTGATGGGGCGGGGGGAGCTGGAAGCGCCCACGCCCTGTTAAAAGAGGGTACCCGCTGCTCAGTCCCTGCTGATTTCTGCATTTAGGAATGTGGGTCCAGCTTGCCTCGACCTTGCCGTTAACCCAGAAGAGCAGAAAATCTGGATCTTTGTGTGAAATATCCCAACTTGTAACATGGGCTTAACATGTTGATGGGCTTCTGATTCAAAAATTTTTCAAATGATGCATTGGTCCAACTGCATGTCTAATACGTTTAAAGGTTAACCCGTTTAATGGTGAAATCATTGGAGTGTGGTTTCTCATACTTCTAGAACATCTGGAAGCCATGGTACCCTTTGCAGAGCACTATAAACTGTGGCCCTCAACTCTGGCTACACATCAGAATCATCTGGAGATCTTTAAGAAAGAAAGAAAGAAAGAAAGAAAGAAAGAAAGAAAGAAAGAAAGAAAGAAAGAAAGAAAAGAAAAGAAAGAAAAAAAGAAAAGAAAGAGAGAGAAGAGAAAAGAAAAGAAAAGAAAAGAAAAAAGAAAAGAAAAGAAAAGAAAAGAAAAGAAAAGAAAAGAAAAGAAAAGAAAAGGAAAACAACTCCGGACCCACCCACTCCAAGGTAGTCAGCATGTCAGCATCTCTGGCGAGTGGGGCCAGGCATCATGTATTTTCAAGGTGATCCTAACGTGTAGCCAGAAGAAGCTTGGCCACACTGAAATATGCATGCTGTCATTGGAACCTGCAGGGTTTTACATGCAGAAATGATGTATACAAGCAAAGGCACATCTAGGAGCCCGGTGTCTGAAAACATTTTAAAAGGCATGGTCGAAACACGGTCAGCTGTTTCCACGTTTTTGTGTGAAAACTCTACATGAATATTCTTTGCTTATTTTTCTCTCCTCGTAGGAAAAAAGGGGGGGGGGGAAGGGCCTCCACCAATATATGTATTTCTCACGCAGTGGGAAAAGTTGGTCATAATGTAATTTGAAAGGTGGATCCTCTAGTCCAGCTCCCAATAATACCAGCATCCTGCAGAAGCACGGCTTACCCACAGAACTGAGCAGGGCTTGGCTGTTGCTTAGGCCTAAGTTGGCACTCTGGGCCCACTTCAGGGAAGCCTTCATTTTGTTGGTGAAACTGTGCCTCCACTAGATCTCTCTGGGCCCCCCAACTTCCAGATTCCCCACTTCAATAAAAGAGGTATGGTGCAAAGACCTGGGTTCAAATACCACCTGTGTTACCCACTAAATTTCCTGACACTCAATTTTCTCATTTGCAATTTTAAAAATTTTGGGGCGCCTGGGTGGCGCAGTCGGTTGGGCGTCCG